ACTAATTATGAATTTTTAAAACCTAAATCTTAAAATTATAAACCCTAAAAATTTGACCCCTAAAACCCTTAAAACTAAACCATAATACAACATAGTTAATCTAAACATAAATGATATAATGAAATTTTTTCTTTGAAAAAATGGTATTTTTGAAAAGATGTTAAAAATGTGGCATTTTTTAAAAGTGACATTTTTAAAAAAAAATTAATTTTTTATACAGTTTTGGTCTTTCAGGTTTTTTTTTTTCGATTTTTATAAAACAATTGGAAAGTTTTAAAACAATTGGAATATATCCGTGTTGGACGTACAATTGGAAATTTGGAATAGCGAGGAGAGAATATAAAAAAAGGGGCTATTGTGAGGAGAAATATAACTAGACACAACATTTGACCTAGAGAAATAGTAAGAGAGAGAGATCGAGTAGAGCAGAAGACTTGATTTGGTTTGGTCGTTAGAACAACATTTACAGAACTTGAGCCAATGATCCTTTGTCTTGTTCTCTCTCTATCATAGCGAGTAAGAAGTCATTGAGGATATCAATAGGACCGGGCAAGCACCAATGGACACAGTCGCTCCTGCCACTGGCTTCAGGTAGATGGCCGTAGCGGCCCGAGTGACCATCTGGTCTAAGCCACATTGCTTGGGTCGTATCTAGTAGTCTTAACCTCATCCCTTTCTTCTTTGCTTCTTTTTCAGCTCTCCAAAACTCTTCCAGCTGAATCTTGTGTAGCTTCACTGTCATTTCATCTTGAGTCGCGTTTCTCTGATGAGGTTGTTTCCTCAAACAATCTCCTCCTTCATTCCATAACGCGCCTTCATAATGCGATGGCGCAAAAGTCCGTAAGTAGAGTACCCCTTTGAAGTTTTCCAAGGTCAGGAACGCATCAAACGCAGTTCTAAACGCTCTTCTATATCCATAAAGAAGTGTGAGATCAGTTATGTTTGGTAATTGGCAAAAATGGCAACCGACGATTGTCCGGTTTTTGTAGTAGATTGATGCACGGAAATGCCAATGGCCGGAAGACATGATCACGTAGTCAAATTCTCCTATCGCGGTCGTCCAACGCTCGTCTACCTCGTCATGGTAGACATCGAAAAGATCGGTAAGCCGAGGCAGGGTCGGGTTGGGTCTGGACTTTACCAAGAATGTTGACCAAAATGTGGCGATCGTGAAGTTGTATGTCTTGTATGTCCATCTTTTGAAATTATAGCCAGGCACAACCGAAGTATCCACCGGATATTCAACCTGATATATTATATGTATCAATTCACAAATCCCATGAATAAAGTTAATACAAAAGATCTCTAATATTCCGGACAGGTCGAAAAATGGATCCAAAAATCAAACTAGTACGAATATTTGGTTTCATTTTTTCTAAAATTGAGCAAAGTGTAACCAAAACTAATCGACCCATCAATATTCACTAAAGAATAAAAACTACTAACTGTTTTCTCTTAATTATGTCAAAAAGGTGTTACCTGAGAGAGAAGGCAGATCAAAGAATTTACGTGGTTATTGCTAACAGAGTCACCAACAATCGCCATGGTTTTCCCTCTCATTAACTCAAGAAACCTCAACGGGTCAAAAACCGGCACGGCATCTTCGCACCCGTCGGGTCTCCATTTCCATTTCATGAAATCCGTGTCGGGTCTTCCATACTTCATGCAGTTTTGGTACTCAGGTATCGCATAGCACGTCGTGTTGCTGTAGTAAGGTCCTTCGGGGTTAGGCACCCACTCTCCCGAGAATATGTCGCAGTTCTCATGTGTTGTCACGTCGCCGTTTTGGAGCTTGGGGATGGTGCTCGTTTGGCTTGGAGGTTCTTGTTGCTTGAGGAGGAAGTTAGGGTCTTCCGCGAAAGAATAGACATGAGGGATACATGTGAATAGAGTGATGGCAATGGTCACTACAATGAGTAGCCTTTGTTTACTTGGAAATGTTGCAGAGTGAAGAAGCTCCATTGAAGGAAGATAGAGAGGGAAAGATGAGAGGTGTGAGAAAGTATAATCACATATTATCTAAGAGTTAGAGACTTATTCATTTATAAATCATGAGAGGTCCCATTAGTAAATCATAAGTTATGAATTAGTTAAGAGGTCCCATTAGTAAATCATGAGAAACATGTGCTAAATTATGACTCGCAAAATAGGTCCAGGAATATTGTAACTAACCGATCGAAAGATTCGATTCACATGCAATGTTGTAATAGCTATCACTAATTTGGACGTTTATTTGATATTTCTAGCATGTTTTTAAGGCTCCTATTGAATAGGAAAAGGATAAGAATTCAACGGTTAACTTCTATATAAAAGAAAAAAATTCATTAATAATTTAACTTCTAAAAATATGCAATTCTTTCTTTTTTTGGACAGAAATATCTG